CTTCCTAATAATAAACATCTCACTGTATTCTCTCTTTACAGTCCACCTCGAGTGACTTTCTCATGCACAACCCGAACATTCTGGAGTGACTTTCTGGTGCGCTGCAGCAGATCCACCCCTGCAATTGTTTGCGGAGATTTCAACGGGAAGAGTCCTCTCTGGGGACCTACCTCCACCACTTCGGATGGTGAAGGCTCTAAACTCGAGTCAGGCATCAACTCCTCTTCACTGGTCGTCTTAAATGACGGTAACCATACCTGGTGCTCGAGTGACTTATCGAGATTCTCAGCGATCGACATCACACTCTCTACACCGGATATATCCAACCGGTGTGCATGGAAAGTGGCTGATTACAACTACGGAAGTGATCATTTTCCCATCTTCATCACTGTTCAAGACATCTCTCACGGCTCGATCCCGTGCCGTCCTTTCATCTCGGTAAAGGAAATATGTTGGGATACGTTTCAGGCTAACTGTGCCACAGTGTCCGAGGACCTCAGCGCTTCTGTCGATGAAATGGATGTGACCGTGGCCTACGACAGGTTGGTAGATGGTGTCACGGAGGCACTTCTGTCTTCGGGTGCAAAAATTATTTCAACTTCGACCTCTAGCGCCACTAGGAAACCACCTACCCCGTGGTGGGATGACTCCTGCACGCAGGAGATCCGTCGTAAACGTTCTTCTTTCATGGCCTTTCGAAAACATCCCTGTCTTTCTTTACTCAATGAATACCTTCGCGTTGCAAAGGAGGTCGCACGTTTCCTTCGCAGAAAGAAGCGTAGCGCCTTTCGAAAATTTGTCAGCTCTCTTCATGCCAATTCAGATATCGGGTCTGTATGGTCTACTGTAAGGGCCTTCTCTCATGCCCGGAACTATGCCCGTGATGAAAATAACAAAAGTAACATTGACGAGGACGGTCTCCTTAAGGCTTTCGATAAAATTGCTCCTCTGGACCCGTGTGTACTTCCGGTGGGAGATACTGTCCTAGAAAATATCCTCCNCCTCCGGACGGATCTAGACAACACGTTTCTATCTGATCCGATTTCCAGGGAAGAGTACCAATCGGTTATTTCTACTCTAAAAGTTAAGTCAGCGCCTGGCCCTGACATGTTGTCAAATAATATAATCTCTCACTTTCCGGAAACTTTACACTCCTTGCTTCTTCGTGTCTTAAGTCGCATGTTTTCCTTCCAAACCTACCCATTACAATGGCACAAATACTTTGTCATTTTCATACCTAAACCGGATAAACGAGGAGCATACCGACCAATATCCCTAGCTAACAACATATTAAAAGTTTTGGAAAAAATAATATGTAGACGCATGGAATGGTGGGCTGAGAACTGCGGCCTGATTCCTTCGTATCAGTTTGGATTTCGCCGTGGGTTATCGTGTACCGATAACATTTCTGTCTTAGTTTCGCATATTAAGTTAGCCAACAACTCCCGTCAAGTCACGGGCGCCGCGTTCCTTGATATCGAAGGAGCGTTTGACAATGTCATTCCTTCTACTCTTCTAGGAATTCTGCGAAAACTCCAATTTACTGACCGAGTGATCTCTTTCGTTTCCACAGTAATATCCCACCGGTCGTTGTCGGGCTATGTGGCTGGCCGTCCCTTTCAGTCTCGAAACACTACACGAGGGCTACCACAAGGCTCCGTCCTAAGTCCACTTCTGTTCAATTTATATATGTCTTTTCTCGACTCGTGCCTTCCACTTCCGGTAAAAATTCTAATGTACGCAGATGACATCGTCATTTATTGCTCCCACCCTTCTATCGCAAACATAGCACGTCAACTTAATGTGGCCCTAGCAAACCTTCATGCTCATCTCAATGATCTAGGTTTGCGATTGTCCCCGGAGAAGTCTTCAGTTACTTTTTTCTCTCTGAACCACCTCCGCAATATGAGATGGCTCGTTCACCGGAATAACATTAGAATCTCTCTAAATAATGTCAACGTTCCCATCACTTGGAAGGTCAGATTTTTGGGAGTCGTCTTAGACTACGCTCTTAACTGGAAGGCTCATATTACGGAAATTAGGAAACGCGTTCTCCTACGTGTCAATATACTGAAGGCTATTTCCGGTATACGATGGGGTGCCCACCCGAGTATTCTGGTAACAGCCTATAAGGGTCTGGTGCGGTCAGTCTTAGATTGGGGGTGTCAAGTTCTTTCTCCTCTGAAGGAACGCGAAGGACTTGTCCTTGATAGACTTCAGTACGTATGCGCCCGGCTGTCCTGCGGCCTGATGCGTACGACCCCTACGAACGTTCTCTTGGACGTAATAAACGAACAACCACTTCAGTGCCGACGAGAGTATCTAACTCGCAAATACATTCTTAAATCTGCAGCCAGAGTTAACCACCCTCTTCGGTCAATCTTTACGTCGATAAGCCCGCAATGGGTCCCCCTGTGTGAGAGCAACAGGTTTAATCTGTTTGACCTGGCTTGCCAACTTACTCGGGAGATGACAGAGGTAGAACCTTACGTCCTGCCTGGGGCATTGCCCTTCGTGTATTCCACTCGCTTCTTTCGCTGCAATGTAAACACTGAAGTTGGGACCGCAGCTAGTACTAAGGACGACCCACAAGAATTTTTCCAAAAAGAGATAGCGACATTTCACATCAATCATGTTCTCTATACAGACGGATCGAGGAGAACAGGACACAATCCTGATGATCCCTCTGACTCCAGTGTAGGCTTCTCCGTTGTTTCGGAATCACTGCGTATTTACAAATCTTACCGCATCCACAACTTATCAACTATTTTTGACGCCGAGGCTGAGGGAATCCTCTATGCCGTTAACTGCATACAATCCCAACATCTTCCAGCTTGTGCAATTGCTACCGACTCTCTCAGCGTGTTGAGTTGCCTCGAATCAGCAGACCCGCATGGTCTATACCCAGCAATAATATATAGAATTAAACAGACAGTCCGAACATTGTTATTAGAACACAATATACACATAACGTTTCTGTGGGTCCCGGGCCACAAAGGCATCCTGGGGAATGAAATTGCAGATGAGTATGCAAAGCGAGCTCTGTCTGAACCTGAACCGGGGTCTGAACAAAAATGCCCGGTCCGCTCCTTTTTCCTCTCTTTAAAGATACGCTCACTTTTGGCAGCGCGACGTCTCCTCCTGGAGGAGGCTCGCCATAAAGGCAGCCGGTATTTTACCTTCAAAAAAGAGGTCCTAGACCACCCGTGGTGGGTAAAAACCAAACACAAGTTATCACGTGAACTTATCACATTTATAACGCGCCTCCGAACCTTCCATACCAAAGTTGGCGCACATCTGTTTGAGAAAAATATACTAGACTCCCCGCTATGCCAGTGTGGCCTAGCGGAGCAGGATGTCGACCATTTATTTTTCCATTGCCCTTCACAACAAGGGACATCGGACAAGCTTCTAATAGATTTATTCCACTGCGGCTTCAGTCCGCCTATTAGCATTGCGGACGTCGCCTTTTCAGATAACATACGAGCAATGCATGTACTGTTATACTTCGCAAAATCCAGTAATATCATCCTTTAACAACCTACCTGTTATCCATTCNATATCAATCCTTCATAATTAGAACACCCATGCGTGCAGTATATAACTTACGAAAGCCTTACTCCAATATAATACACAAACATACATCTAAACTCCAATCACAAATCTTTCAAAAACGGAGCAATTTAGCCAGCGAGTGGCGTATGGACTAACCCTCAGGGTCCAAGAGCCATAAGTGCACCAAGACCAAGACCAATTGACGGTTAACTTGAATTAACGGAAGCCCAACTTGCTGAACTCGGTGTAACGCATCTTTTCTTCTTAAACATGAACTGTGATTGGTTAGCGAAGATTTGACAAAGAAGATTGAACGCGTTAAACCGAGCTCAGCAAGTCGAACTTCGGTTAATTCGAGTTAACCGCGGATTGTGAAACCGGGTCTATGAGTGGAACCGAATTGAGAGTTTCGGTGGAAACTAGACCAGAGACACATTTCCGTAAATTATGTATGTGCGTACATACATGTATACGATATACAATCTTATGTCTTATGATTTCTTATGCTTTATTGTTTATCATGTAAAATCATGATTGTGCAATTATGTGTTTAAAGTAATCGCGCACGATAGATACGTATATTTTTAACGAAAGTAAATACTTGTACGAGATGTACGAATTGTGATGTATGTAATGTTACATTCAAAATACAAAATTTTTTAAATTAAAAATTAAAGTTGAAAGTAACGAATTAAGTTTTTGCATACATTTATGTACGTATATTTATACATTTAACAATATTTACAATATTCTGGTCCAATTTCGGATAGTTTGTTACAAGAATTTATGTATGTATATAATTGTGTGTTTCATAAATCTACTTTATCAGTATCAGTATCAGTATCTTTGATAAAAGAGAATAGCACATTATAAAGATGTCTAAAATAAATACTTGAATTTTTCTTGATTAGAAATTATTTGAATAAATCAAAAGCACGCGATATTGGATGTATGTAATAGTGTGTTTCTATTGCTTATTTGATTGTGTATCAATATGCGGTGTTGAAAACAAGATTATGAAATTTCTTTGTGTAAGGTAACTCTGTATATCTATAAGCAGTGATCATTTATTTTCTTGATAAAAATGCAATTATTTGCAATTTGTAATAAACTAGATGTTAAGATAACTTGCATGTTTTACATATATTAGAACAAAATACTTATAGGTTATACATCTTTTGTTCAATTTATAAATGTTTATATATCTGTTATTTACACTTTTGTTTACTTACAGGAAATATTAATTTATATTGTGCCATAATTAGTAGTGAATTAGATATTGTAATGTTTCCTAGCATACAGAAGAAGGACTATAGAGTCCTAAACTTACTACATCAGAGAGAAATACAAGTAAGTTGAAAATTTTTCTTACTGATTATTATAGATATATACATATGTGTACATAAATTAATATGTATTGTTCTTTGTATTTAATTTAGGATTCAGTAGCAAGTATAATTCAGCAAAGACTACAAATTACTGATAATCTGATATTACGTTTAGGTTTAGAAAAAGAATTGAAAGGTCATACAGGATGTGTTAATTGTTTAGAATGGAATGAGACTGGACAGTATGTATCTGTTACATATTTTTATTTTGTAACATAGTTGATTTAATAAATATTTGTTTTATATAGAGTCCTTGCATCTGCATCAGATGATAGGAATATTGTATTATGGGATCCATTTCGTTATGAAAAAAAATTAGTACTACAGTCAGGTCATAATGGAAACATTTTCTCTGTAAAGGTAAAACATTTATTGTGCAGATTTCTTGTGTGTGTGTGTGTGTGTGTATGTGTAGCTTTTGGAAAATATTTTAAATTTCTTGCTCTTACAATGAATGTTTTTATTTTGATAATATTAATAATGAAATAATGATGTATATTTATATTTTTGTTTCTAGTTTATGCCAAAACCATATGACGATATACTGGTATCAGGTGCTGGAGACTGTAGAATTCGGATGCACAATGTCAAAACAGCTGAGCCTACATTTGTATGCAAATGTCACAAACAACGTATCAAGCGTATTGCTACTGTGCCTAGTGTGCCATTCTTGTTTTGGAGTGTAGGCGAAGATGGTCTTGTCTTGCAGTATGACGTCCGTATGCCACATGTTTGCAGAACTAATGATCAAAGTGTGCTTGTAAATCTTATATATCATATGGGTCACGGCGCAGAAGGCAAATGTATTGCTGCAAATCCAAGAAAACCTGAACTGATAGCCATCGGTGCTAACGACGCCTACATTCGTATGTATGATCGGCGAATGATCAAACTGTCACAGGTACATTTATTTATCTTCAACAAAAAAATGAGTCTTATTTTTTTATTCATTTTTTGCGCTATTTGATTAACTTGGTGTCAACATATCGTAGCTTCCTTCAATTCATCCTGCACATGAAAACACGGATTTGGTGAATACATATCGACCAAGCGATGGCGATCCGAATCCGAATGATAATATTTCACAGGATGCTGCACAATACTTCATCGCCGGTTTGTTATTTAGATATACCATATTTTTTCTATACTTTTTTCTTGTTAATCCTTAAAGGTTGTCATATAACAAAATTATGGTAATGCTATGGGGTGAAATTTCACTTCAGTGTACACTTTATTTTAGAAGTAAAAAAAGTGAAACAAATACAAATTTCGCAATTAAATGTTTTATTATTGAATATTAAAAAGTAAAGAAATTATTTAGAACGGTTATAAATAACATTGCAATGATTATTACAAGTTATTACACATTGTGCATTTAATCTCATATTTCTCTTTTCTTGGGCAAAGCCAGCATCTATTCTGTTTATCGATGTAGATAGTTTTTGCGTGATGTTTTCAATAATCTTATCAATCATTTTTAAACTTTTTTTTTAACATATTGAATGCCGAATCAATTTTAAATGATTTGCCTAAGGCGCCGGAAGGAATTATTAATGCAATGCTTTTGCCATTGCCAGTGACCTCCATGGCATTCAACGTGTTAATTTAAAAAACAAGTTTGATATTTTAGTCATTCTTTTAAAAACAGTTTTATTAGAGAAAATCCTAAGTTTAAGAAATAATTTTTTGTATTCTCATCATCACTTATTTCATTCATTTCTGTTATCATAATTTTTCTAAATTCTTTTATTTAAAAAAAGCCATATGTAAAAGTACCTGATTCCTGATAACCTAATTCCTGACAACCAAAAATAATAAATAAAAACATTTACAAAAAACTGAAATTTATTTTCTTATATCTTGAAAGCACTTCTAGAAACAACAATTCAAAACGCAAAACCAAATTAAAAATTTTGTTTTGTAACTGTAAGAAATCTTACACTTACGGTATCATAGGTGAAATATCATCCCAAACTAACTTTTTTGTTATGTTTATAAAAAAACAATTATGCAGTTACAGGAACTATCTCTCGATCTCAATAATTTTGACATATGTTAAGGTCATCCTTCTGAATAATACTATGAGATTTTAGCTGTCAGTCGTTATTGGTTAAAATATTATTAACAAAGTATCTAATGAATAGTATATGTAAATACCACTGTATATATAGGGTGTCCCATAATGACCGTCTCACCGCTCGTAGGCAAAAAGAAAGAGTTATTCTAAGACGAAAAGTCCTACATCACTTTGAAAGATTCGCAATAATTAACGAGATACGAATTAATAAAGATCCGCTAATCAGCATGCATCCAGCGTAAGGGGAGCGTAAGGACAGCCTAGTCTCGCGTGGACGCGCTGTTGCAGTGGAATGGAGAGGAGATAATAGAATAGCAAGTGCACCTATACATAAACAGCATATAAGTTGCGTTCGGGGAGCGCGTGAGAAAGACTAGGCTGTCCTTACGCTCCCCTTACGCTGGATGCACGTTGATTAGCGGATCTTTATTGATTCATATCTCATTAATTATTGCGAAGTTTTCAAAGTGGTATAGGACTTTTCGTTTTAGAATAATCCCTTCTTTTTGCCTACGAGCGGTGAGACGGTCATTATGGGACACCCTGTATATATATATATATTTTATGTTGTCAAAACTTCTGAATAGTCTCGAAATGGTTTTAGTCATCGCTCATTGTTCGCTCATTAAAAAGTTATTAATAAAAAATATAACTACATAAATGATTGTTAAAAAACAACAAAAGCTGAAAATTTGGTAAACTATAAACCCATGTGGAGCCTTGCTTTGCATGGAAAATGTGTACGTAGAGGCAGATCTCCCCTAGGCTGTGTTCGAATTTCCCATCCGAGTGTATCCGAGTGTCATTTTATCTTTGTTTCACATCTAGTGAGTGATAAAGATAAAGACTGCTTTCCTTTTAGGAGACACAGTCGACACAAGTCGACAAAAGTCATTTTGTCTTCGTTCAGTATTCAGTGAGAAACAAAGACAGAATGACTCTTGTGTCGACTTATGTCGACTGTGTCTTCTAAAAGGAAAGCAGCCAAGTATATCCGGGTGAGGAATCGGAACATAGCCCTACGGGGGAAAGAGGACTCCACTATCAAAAAACCAGACCCATAGGTTTAGGTTGCTTTTCGCTTTGCATAGAAAGTGTACGCGTGGAGACTTCCCTCTACGGAGGAGCACCACTATCAAAAAATTAGATATAGGTTTGGACTAAACCTCGTTTTACGTGAAAAGTTGTAAACTTGGAACTATGTGGAACTTTGCCTCGATTTTAGCCGTCGCTTGTTGCAGCAAAATTTTTTACGGGTTTTCAACCCTTCTCAGGGGGGTCTGCCTCCACGTACACACTTTTTATGCGAAGCGAAGATCAACCTAAACCTAAACCTAAACCTATGTTTGTGTTCTATATGAGTACACTTTTCTAATTTCACATCGTATAACTTTCTTGCCAAATAGAGCAGATAATGACAATTATATCTTACTTTTCAAACTTTTTCTGATAATAACTCTTTAATGAACAACGATCGCCGGCTAAACTTTTCACAATATCACTCAGGATGATAACCTTGATAACGTGTTAAAATTGTTAAGATTGGGAAGTGATTTCTACTGTATATTTACTAAAAGCATATGGAACAATTGATTTGTTTTATGATAATGTCATTATTGATTGTATAAATAAATATCTATAAAATTGGTGTTGCCAAAAAGGTTGCATTTTTTTAATAACATTAAATCGAAATCCACGTAAAGTGAAATTTCATCCATAATAGCTTTTAAGGATTAATTATTGATTTGATGGAGAGACTAATTTACTTTAATATTAAATAGGTCATCTACGTTTCCGTGACAGTAATAATAAAAGTATTACAACTACTTATTTGACGTTTAGCCATGATGGAAATGAATTACTTGTAAATATGGGTGGTGAACAGATTTACTTATTCGATATTACTGATTCAACCAATTCAAGAATATTTTATGATGGTTCATTTAGAGAACATCCAGGTAATGTTTTATAATTTTATCGCCTTTTCTGTCTTCAGTAGACAATTATCTTTTTTTCGCTAGATTTAATCGAACGACAATTGCAAAGGCATTATGTGCAACAAAACAAAGTAGACAACACTGATAATTTTGCTGATATAAATGTAAAGAATTTGCCACCACATGTTGAAGAATTAAAACGCGAAGTAAGTTATTTTTACTTTTATACTATTTCTTATCTCTAGATATCAAATTCACATTTGAAAGTATGTTGCATTTTCCAAAATAATCTTATAGTCTCATCTTTCTTAATATTGAATTTCTAAAAGCAAATGTTATATATCTTAACACAAACTTTTTTCTTATCTTTCTATTTTTACTTGTGCGCGCACTCACGCAACGCAACACACATACGCGCGCGCGCGCGCCCACACACACACACACACACATTGTATTATGATTAACATAATATTTTCATTAATTTTAATTACCAGGCAAATGAAGGTTATGAGGAAAAGAAATATTCCCTAGCGATTAAGTTGTATAATAAAGCAATTATTCATTGTCCAACAGCAGCGACATTATTCGCCAATCGGGCAGCTGCTTACATGAAACGTAGATGGTAATTATTTTGACTTTATTAATATTTTCAGCATCACAATATAGTTAAAATTTATATTGTGCATGTAAAAAACAAATAATTTAGTAAACAAGTATAAAATGTTTAACCCTCAACGGACGGCGTGTTTTTCGGCACCTTAATTCGCCGGACATGGGTCGTTTTCGTCTCTCTTGGGCTTTTTAAAAATATTAAATAATATTATTTCTTAAAAAATCTGAAACAATGTGTATATACTCTTTAAACTGTCTATTTTAAGACACCATCATTAAATTTAGTGAAAAAAAAAGTTTTAATTCATAATTTTTAGCAAATATGACAACAAGAAACTTACTTTTTNCAGAAAATAATTTTGCTCCAGACGAAAATGACCCATGTCTGTCCATTGAGGGTTAATATTTTTATATGTGCATAAGATATATATAATATGTTTAGGGATGGTGATATTTATGCCGCTTTACAAGATTGTAAGACAACGTTACTTCTTGATCCGGAACATGTAAAAGCTCATTTTAGGTAATGGTGATAAGCATTAATCATTATACATTATAATATAATCATTATACATTATAATCATTCACATATTTGGAGAAATGTGTTCACTTAGATGAAAAAAATTGCATAGATTTCTTGCGCTAGGTATCATTTTTTTTCTATTTGCATGTATACATATGTATGTACGTATGTATGTATATACAGAATGTCTCTAAAGTCTGATCCAACCTCTGGATTTGAGAAACGACGTTATGGAAAAATTTCAGACAAAAGTTGTAGGATATCAGGAAAGACAGATAATGAAAATATAGATTTGACCTTAAGTGACCTTTTCAATGCTAGGTTAATGTGATCGATGTTTTCTTAAATAGAAAATTCCCCCGTTTTTTATTGCATATTTTTGTAATCTTTGTTGAGACGTTTCTAAAATATTAACTACTTGCATGTTTTATGTCTTTCCCAAGATATGAAGCTTTGAAGTTGACACTCCCGGGATTTCTATTACTCGACGTACACCGCAGGGAAGTTTCATTTTGAGTATCTTATGCAAATGGAAGTCAGTGGTGTTCATTTTGAGCATTTTTTGCAGTAACAGCAAGAAAATATCTAATTATCGTAATGCAAAAGGAAAAAGAAAAAGATTAGTGAAAAGAGAGAAAGAGAATTTTGATTGAAGAAACATATGTACACGTAAAATCGATCCTTTTTCGGGCCACTACATGATGTACAAATCCGACCGAACAACTTCCCCGCGGTGTATATCGAGTAATGCGAATGTCGGCTGTATGTCAACTTCAAAGCTTCATATTTGGGAATGACTTGTGCAAAAGACGCAAGTAGCGTTTTGGAAACGTCTTGACAAGAGTTACAAGAATATGCTATAAAAAATTGGGAGTTTCATTTAAGAAAACATTGATCACGTTGACTTGATCTTGAAAAGATCACTAAAGATCAAATCTATATTTTCATCATCTGTCTCTGCTAATATCGGCTGTGTTCCGATATTCACTGCCAGTACTAAAAATTTATACTTCACGTGACAAGTGCTATAGATTTCCAGTACTGGTAGTTAATATCGGAACGCAGTCATCGTTCTTTTGTCTGCAACGTTTTTCAATATCAAAAGCCGCTTCCAAGACTCAAGGATTGAGTCAAACTTTAAAGACACCTTGTATAATACATATATTGTATATACATATATATGTATAATATTTTATATATATAATATGGATATGTATGTAATATGTATATACAGAACATATATGTGTATATATGTGTGCGTGCGTGCGTATGTGTGTATGCGCGCGCGCGCACACACCCGTTCTTTATATTTAACAATTATTTTTTTATATACTAGCACAACACAAACGCGAGCTACGCGCACGCTAGTATTTTTATTTTAACGTGTTCTATCAGTGTGACCATTACGTGTCACCGCAATGACAGCTAGTATATATGCATACGACATGAGCCAAGAAACGTATCCAAAGACGTCACCGAGAGACATCCAATCAGCATCACAAAAAAGTGGCAACAATCAAGATCAAAAGAATCGATTGTGATTATTTATACACGCTTTTTCTGGTCTGATACATATAGTCAAAACTGTGTATATGTATATTGTCATGCTAAGAACGCACAATACACACACACACACACATATATATATACACATATGTATATACAGGGTGTTCGACAATTGATGTAACATCTCTCGTAGGCAAGTAGAAAGAATAAAACTGAGTCGAAAAGTCTTATACCATTTTGCGAGAATTGTAATAATTACCGAAATCTTAATTAACAAGATCCGCGAATAAGCATGCATCAGGCTGTCTTACACACGTAAGACAGCCTGGCGCGCTTCGCGCGCTTACGATGTTATCCGTAGCAACGTATGGGAGGAGCTAATATAACAGCATATACTAAAACATATACGTATGATTTGTTTTTTTTTCACTGAATATATGATAGAACTAGTTGCATTAATTCTACGAAAAAGAACAAACTAATAATAAAAGGTAACCGCGCGAAGTGCACCGGGCTGTCTTGCCTTACGCGCGTAAGACAGTCTGATGCATGCTTATTCGAGGATTTTTGTTAATTAAGATTTCGGTAATTTTTGCAATTTGCGCAAAATGGAATAGGATTTTTTGACTCAGTTTTACTTCTTTTACCTGCCTACGAGAAATGTTACACCAATTGTCAAACATCCTGTATACACAGTTTAAAAAAAAACAATTGCTTTATTTTCAAAAGACAATACATACAAGAATAAAGTATAGAATACTAAATTTAACCCTTCAAGGCCAGATGTGAGTCTCTCAGTCAAAAATTACCCACTCAAAAATTGCGCATCAGCGTTTCTAGAAAAAAAACCAGGTTTTCTTAAACGTTTATATCTTCGAAACTACTACAGATTTTTTTAATTTATTTATTTGGTTTTTGCTTGACGCAGAATTGTTCAAACTTTTGATTCAAAAAACAAAATTAAAAATATATTGATTTTTTGCGAAGATATTCGATCTTATAGTCACATAGGTCTCACAGATCCGGTTTGGCCAACTAGGCATCATTTTTGTGGTCTGGTCACGAAGAGTTAAGTTTGTTTTAAAATAGCTTAATATTTTATTATTCCACAATATTTTTTCAAGTCGTTGTTGCGCTTGTGAAAAAATAAGACACACACTCTCGTTGAATTTTGTTATTGTAACTTAATTATATGTGTATAGAATGGCGCGTTGTCTGTTTGATTTAAATCGCGCGAGTGAAGCAGACAGAGTACTCAGTAGCTTTCAACAGAAATTTCCGGAATACACTTCTGCTTCAACATATAAAGCATTGCAGAATGATGTAACAAAAGCTATCGATGCCGGTAATTTATTTTCTTGTGTGATCTTATTATTTTATATATAAGATAATATATTACCTAATATATATATATATATATATATATATATATATGATCTAACCTGATCCTATATATCTTACATATACACGCGCGATTAAGTATATTAGTATTTATAATTAAATTAAATATATATCATGTTTTTTCTTATTTAGGAAGAGATGTTACACAAACTAATCAAGTATATTACTCTCTATCAGAATGTGAACAAAAATGGAGACGAAATGCAATTGATTACAAAATGAGATTTTGCGGTCATTGTAATACTACAACCGATATAAAAGAGGCAAACTTCTTTGGAAAGTAAATAAATTTTTATAATACATTAGTGAGCACATAGTAGCAGTAATTATTCTTGAACAAATTGTTTTAATTATAGCTTTTAATTATATAGCTTTAGTTATAGCTATAAATCTTTGTTTCTTTTTCTTATTTTGAGAGTTTAAAAACTCACGTGAATTATGTATTTTGATAATTGTACACATTATTATCTATTTTAAGCAATGGCCAGTATATAGTGGCTGGATCAGATGATGGTTCCTTTTTCATTTGGGATTATAATACTAGCAATATCTTACGTATACTTCGAGGAGATAATAAAATTGTCAATTGTTTACAACCACATCCATCTACCTGCTTGTTAGCCACCAGCGGTATCGAGTCAGTAATTAGATTGTGGAGTCCACTACCAGAGGTAAATCAATATTTTCTTTCTTACTAATGTATATATGTAAGAACGTGTTAAGGCCATTGCACGTAGCAAAAATTTAGACGTAGTCGCAAGGTCGTAAGCAAATCGACCAATCGCTGGCCAGCATTCCAACTAATGTAAGATAATACTGGTCTGTAATTGGTTAAATTGCTTACGACCTTACGGTTACGGCTAAAATTTTTTCACGTGTAATGGCCCTTATATCGATAATTATATATTTTTCCGCTCGTGAAATTCAACAAATGAAAAGAGGGCTAATACGAGCTGTAAACAGAGTGTCTATATTTTAATGATTTGTTTAATGTTTAACGTTAAACGTTTTAATCCGTATTAGGATCTTCTTCACCGACAATCTATTTGAAATTACAATAAAAAATTACAAAAATGTTTGTCTTTTTGGAAAGTTAATAGAAATAAGCGATTCACAAATGGATGCATTACACAATTATAACTCAATTAAAATAAAGATAGGAAGAACTCAGTCCTAATCAGCTGTACTGCAATAGTTGTTCACAAAAACTAAACTTGCTGAACGGTAAACTCGATGTCAAGACTATGCAGACATCACTATCTTCCCGTGACAACTGATAGACTGTGAGTTGCAACCTTTACACTTGTCATACATGTAACGGTCTTCCCACAATACTCGCAAACGAACAAATAATGATTATGTTGTTTTGTATAATTTAAAACATGCAAATACGGTTTTAACTGATCCGTCCGACATGACGTTGATTGAAACGTTTTGTAACTCTAGGGTAGATGTGCACCATTTGTGGCCGCTTTTTCATGTATTTTAATATGGTAAGCATATATTAGGTTAGTTTTATTACAATGAATAAAGTTGGCAATGACAGAGTTATGTTTTTACTATTAGCAATAGTAAAAACATAACTCCACAGTTTATTTATGTCGTTTAATATAAATATGGTGTGTAAATGTGTAAGCATTTAGAAACCCAGCAAACAATTTCTGTTTTTGACAATTTCGGCGCAGATCTTGGCAACAGAAAGTGTTTGCAGAAATGCTACAATACGGAAACACCGCCAAAACTGTTAGCACACAGAAAAAAAACGCAACAACTCTGTTGATAAATACATGAGGGTATTGCGGCCAAAACAATCCCATATATGTCAGTGAAATTNACAACAAATAGATGGTCGATTGCAAGCAGATCTGCTTTTAGCAATACTGTGACCAAACAGTCCGCAAAACCGTACCAGAGATCTGTTTACGACAAAAGTCGGGTNGATCTGTTAAACACATTGACGACAGATTGCCACCAAACGCCAAGCAGCTTTGTTCGTGTATACGTGCAGACTGTTTGCAATTTGGCGCCAACAGACGATGATCAAACCTATTCCGGATTTTGGCTTCACTTTGGCGATAATTTGACTTCGCTTTGCTTGTGGCAGACTCTGTCATCATTTTGGTCGCATTTTGACATTTCACATGTTGACAGACATGGTTACCAAACCATATCCTACTGAGGACAGATGGATATGGTTTTGTAACCAAAATGTTTGCTGGGAAAGTCCTACATCCTTAAAACATTGCTTAACGCACTACCAGTAAATAAACAATTAATTACTAATTAGATACAAGCATAGCTGAAGTTTTATGCATACTTAAGTTTTCATAAGAAATATTTTTGAGATTCAAACGATAATTGTAAGGATATAACCTACAATATGCTAGAAATAACTACTGACCACAAATGGTACATTGAAAATGTAATTGCACCATTTTTGGTCACAAAATAGCTACAAATGGCACACGGTAAAGCCATTTTTGGTTGATAGGTATTCTTTGGAATTTAATCGTATATTAACTGTTGTAAAATTGTTATTTCAAAGTTTAAATTAGTTTTTGCTTGTAATTTATCACAAATATATTTTATTTTTTAAATTTATTTTAAACGTCTAAATTATTACACGGAATAATTCAAATTGAATTCCAATTCAAAACTTCATCTACAATAGAATGCTTGGTTTGTATGTTAAGTAAAATACTCGAATTACCTTCCTATGGAAATTAAAAAGTCTATTGCAAAAAGAACACCTCGGCCAGGAGTCGTCTGGACCACCCGATTATCGTGCGGATGTCTTCTCATTTCGGCTATCGAGGCACTAGATGTATTTCTCGCCTTATTGAGGGGATAATTTGATTATTTAATCTTATATAAGATGCAAACCAAGTATCTTAGATAAATTTTCAAATTGGAATTTAATTCGAATTATTACGTGTAATAATTTACACGTTTAAGAGAAATTTAAAAAATTTAGAGTTTGCTTTAACATCTTGCGTTGACTCAATATTGTTTCTTTGTTCGATTATTATGTACCATATTATTATATACCATAGGAGCCAAATTCACTCTTAAATTTGAATTTTTTAATGGTTTATTGCTATTATTATTTTGTATCATAATTACTCTGATAGGAAAACATAAAATTATGTGACGAAATGTTGCACTAAAATTGTAATTTGCAATTATACAGATATATTTTAGGAAATAGATGTAAAAACATTGATCTTTTATAAAATATTTGCAGTTGTTTGCAAAATTACTTTTTAAATATTATTTCGACAAACGAATAACAATATGGCGAATCATCTTAGCAGTATATTTGCAAAATTAATTTCAAAAAGAAATTGTCCAATAATTGAGGAAAAAATTTCAGCTATAGGATGTTTAAAATATGTAGAAATATATAATTGCATATGAAGAAATCAATTTAATTCATGTATATACTTATGGAAATGCATAACGACTTTTTCGCAATTTTTGACAAATATTATTTACAAAATTTTATTTCGACAAAACTGTTGCGTTATGGCGAATCATCTTAGTGCAATCATTGCAGGATCGTCGTTATTCATGATGCCATTTTTACAATTTGCCTATTAGGATACTGCTTAAAAAGAAACGTTTGTAATCACTTAAAAGTCACAAACTTTTCTTGTTATTGTCGTATGGACAATTCTTAATCATAAAATTGACTGGCCATAAATAGAACATTAAATGGCCAATAATGGTGCAAATGTGGTCACAAATGATGCAAAATGGACTTTCACAATAATTTATTGATTTCTTTTGCAATTACACTTTAAACATTATTTAACTTGTCACTATTTGATTTGTTATATATATTTTAGATTATATTGATACGTTTTGAATTTTTATTTATGTAGTTTTTATTAAGTTTTATGTCATTAAGAGGGTACTGGATATCGACTATAGAGACCTGTAAACCGTTTTTATAACGTTTTTATAACTTAAATTTCTTTATTTTCTAATTTTATTTACTGCACAACATTAAAAGCGCTTCTACAGAAGCAAATAAATATAAAAAACTTAATAAAGCTTTTGAAAATGGATATATAATGCTTTTTTGAACTCGTTTTTTTATTCATAATGACAGTATATGGTATCAGATATACGTCATCACACTGACATTGTTCTCATCAAGTAGATAGTCAAGCCATAATCTGAATGTCTCATTAGATTTTTTTGTCGTACTTGTTGCGCTTGTTCATTGTAAATATGTACATAAGCTTAGAAATAATTCTACATACATGAATATATGGTGAGATTATAGAAGAGAACTGTATACAAAAAATTTTATGCTGAATCTTGACATTCCAAAGAACAAGCGCCAATTCTTAGCACAATTTACTTATTTCTGTAGAAGCATTTTAGATTTAATGCAGTAAATACGACACCAAACGTCATAGAAGAAACGTCGGTTTACAAGGTCTCAATAGTCGGTACCCTCTTAAATGATACAAAAATCTTTAAAGTGGCCACAAATGGTGCATCTACCCTATATGGATCATTTTGGAGACGGATCTTTTGAAAAAAGACGCTTCTGAATCCAACATTTTTGTATCATGCTATTTAACATTATGATCTATATCTATTTTATGTTGAGTAACGACAAACATTTATCAATATAGCGATTTATTTGGTTTCTGTGTTTCGATACTCTGGTCTTAACCCTTCTTTGCATGATGATGGAAATTTTAATCATAACATTTAGTGAAGAAAAAAAGGTACTCAAAAACTGTAAACTGTAAATTTGTTGATTGACCCTGATTTATTTTAAAAAAATAGAAAAAATCATGCAAAGAAGGGTTAAGTTTCCTCAAAGTTTGGCCCACAGGCATCGCAATCATTACGTATATTCTAACTTATGAACTACATTTTTCTGTTGTTCGCGTTCAACCGGATCTTTGATAGTTCTAATAAATTTGTTCAATTTATTGACTTCTTTACGCCAACAAAGTTTCCTCTTCTTCCCTCAGTGATTTTCAAATTGTTTGTAATATTTTATTAATACAAAGTACGACGAAAAAATTTTTTACACTTTTAGAAGTCACTGAGAATTCCAGATTTTCTGATTTTCCATTGGATGAATTAATTTTGTTGATAATTAAATATTTTAAGCAATTATTTATAACTTTAAAGATTAAATCCAACAAATAATTGTTAGGGATGAATATGTTGATTATAAATTTTAAGTTCTTTTCTTGAAACACAGGATGAGATAACAAAGTTCTTTCTACCATTCCAATGGTAGAACTAATAAAATAGGATGGTACTTATTTTATGAGAGATGGTGTGTGAAGAATGATAATTCAAAGATCTACCTGAAAACGTAAACTTGTGAAACCAATTGCACTAAATTTTGTTGTTGTTAAACACAATTGATTTAACATCTAAAAAGCTCACAGAGGTACCATCCTATGTCTCAATTGTGAATTTCAAACTGTCATTATAACAATTAAAATTATCTAATAAATAGTCCACATCATTGCTCAGCACGGGTAAAATAACGTCATTCACGTATCTAAACTAAAAGTAGGTTTAAATTTTAATTTTTTTAATACAGATTTTTTTAAATTTTATATCACTATCTGCTATGATGAGAGATAACGGTAAATCCATCGGAACCCCCCCCCCCTCCTCGTAAGTTTGT